TATTGTAAACTTAATCGAAACGTGAACAAGGTAAAAAAAAATAGTTTTGCAACTACTTAATTATATTATTTCTGCATGTAAAAACCTACTGAACATAAAATTAACCAATGACTGATCGTTAACTCTGACAACCCCATTGAGTTCTGATCTCCAGAAGTTAGGCACACCTCTCAGCGTTTTTCTTAACGCTTTTAGCACCATGCCAAGAATCTCAAACCGTGAACGGCTTCGTCGAGAAATTACCACCAGCTTAGCACTCTCAGAGCCGCCGTTACTATTAGAGCACTGCTAGAAGATCGCGGTAAACTGATGGTGGACCACTCAGCATATTTGACGAGCCTGCACCCTGATTGGCCAATAATCTTCAAAAATCCAGTTCATGTCCAACTTGTCCATAATCGAGCAACAGCAGCGATGACCCAGCGCGAACCTCTTCCGCCGTGCTGCCACGCGCTCACCCCGGGCCGTAAATGCAGCAGCAACGTAAGTGCATCCATTCAGTATACCCACCATCAGTGTAGACATCTCACCATTGCCCTCTCTCGATTAACAGCCTCACTTCGCGTCTGAATTGCGCAAATTCGGCGTATCGTCCAAGGTCGACGGTGTGCAGCGACTCGCTAGCGACCTCAGCGCTGCCCGAGCCGCCCTACAGCTGGAGAGCAACACTATCTCCAAGTCTGTCTTCCAATCACCCGATGACATTCCGAGCTACACGCGGAGACTGACACAGTACCTGGCCCTTGTCAAGGGATTCACGGAATTCCGACAGAGCACCGAAAACAATGCGGACGCGGCACTGCAGGCGTCGGTACCGGTAACCGACGCGACGGCGGGTGCAACACTGCGCCAACCACTTGTGGAGGATAGCGGACAGACTGCAAACAGTCAATCAACTGCTGCTACTGCCACAGACTGCGGCGGATGCCTCAGCTTTTGCCGCTGGCAGGACGCGCTGACTGGCCAGACGGTGTACGCTCGCAGCGCACGACAGGAATATGCACATGTACTGCTGGCTTGTGGCATCTTGATGATGAGCGACGCCAGAGACAAAGTGGACGCCATTCTGTCCGAGAGACTGTCGGAGCTCGACGAAACGCAGCTCAAACTCGCCTACCAGCTGCTGCTACACGCGGCTGGAGTTCTGGAGGCGTGTCTAGAGTCGATGAACTTCACTCCTCGCTCGATTGGAGCAGAGTTCGCGGATCTTGGGGAAAAGGAGACGGAAGTTCAGGAATCTGTCGATGATGATGGAGTCGTGCCGGATGACGATATGATGGCCAAATGGCGCGAAGAACAGCGCCAAGCTCAGCAAGATACACAAAAGAAAGCTGTCCCTGACAGGAATGATACTACAAAGAGCAATTCAACCAAACCTGTTGCTTCCATCGCTGAGGAAGACCTCGCGATGCTCAAGCGAGTGCCAGATCTTGCTGACGGTCGCTTCCCCCAATTGTTGGCGTGGATTGCTCTTGCTGAGGCGCAGGAGCTTGTTGTGCTCCGTGGTGTGACTCGTGAAGTCGTTGACTACACTCTCATGGCCAAGCTGTCGGTGGACATTTCGGCCAGATACAAAGGTGCGTCTTCATTGTCGTGGATGTTTTATCTTACTGTTAGCGCTGAATTGTTCCCGTTCCTTTGTCCTGCAGAGTGTCAGAAGATTGCA